TTTTTACCCGCCTTTAGTCTCTTGGTAACTATTAATTGTGATGCTTTTCCTTTGTTGTTGTTTGTTCTTTAGGCTGTAAGACTATCTGGGCTGAAGTAAGTGAATACTTTCAACACTATTGAAAAAAAAAATGCTGTCTTGGAACACATTCTAAAGACTCCCAGTATTTAAAAAATATTTTCTCCTCAAAATCTCCCCTTAACAGTAGAAACATTCTAAATCCCAGGAGAGACATGGTGCAGTCACTCTGCAGCATGCCACAGAGACTGCTTGTCTTGCATAAAGATAGAGCAATTTAATGAGCAGAAAAGCACAAACAACCTAGAAATAACATATCTAGCAGTATTCATAACATTATATTCCTAATGTAGCATATGAACTGGGCATCCATGTAGACAGATACTAACTGTATACTTTTTTTTTGTTTGTTTGTTAGAGTGTTAGGTTTTGTATTGCATACCTGTATGTTAAATTTGATGAAACAGTCAGGCTGGGCTATGACAGCCTAAGTTGATGAGTAAATCCACTTAGTAAATTCTTTTGAGTACTAGCTGCTTTCCCAGAATTCTGCATGTGGAGGAAGATGACCACCAGGAGTTAGTTTCTTGCATAACCTAGGAAAAAGTTTAGGAGGTTGGTAGGGCTATGCCTATATTTTAATATGTGTCTGTATATATTCAGACATATATGTCTGTATATATGAATATATCTTTTATTCCTCTTAGGTTCTAGTTTTCAGCATCTCTCTGTAATGATATGCAGTTATATTAAAACATAGACATCTAAATCTTGTTTATTCTTATGTCTCCAGTCCCTTTTTTAGAAGTGTGAGAGGCTGGAATATAGATTTCTTCCCCACCCAAAGATCTTGTTGAGCCTTCTCCCTAAAATTAATGCATCTTAAAGCTATGTGCAAAAAGCCCTGTATGCCTGTCCTTACTCATGTCCTCAAAATGAGCTCAACGTTCTGGTTATGTGGTTTTTAGAAACTTAACATTTTTACTTACTATTTTTCTGTGTTTCTGCAGTCAATTTTTGGTGCTAGGTGTATCTGTTACAAGTTTATTTTGTAAGACAACGTAGTAGAGACTTAGCTTATGGTCATAACAGAAGTTTGATGAAATATTGGTCTTATTATCACAGATGGAAGGGAGCACCTTCTGAGTGTGTAGATTCTTGCTGACACGTTATTTATATTGTCTCCAAGAGAATTAAATACATAAACACAAATGGGATGATGTTTTAACCACTACATAACAAATACTTCATCAGAGAAATATCGGTAAGCACCCGGCTGCATAACACCTTGTTTTTTGGCAAAACAGTAGGATTTAGAACTGTAGTTAAGCCACAGAATACTTCTTTTTTTGAAATAACTTGCCTTTGCTTCCTCCTAAATGTTTCAATAGTAAAAAAATGTTGCTGAAAATTGTAACTGAAATTTCAAAAATTCCAATTCTAACTACATTGCTTCCTTTATGTTTATTTTCAATGAACGATTGATTTTTTTCCCTTTTAGTATTTCCAAAATGTACCATTGAACTTCTGAAGCCATTTATTTTTAAGATAGATTATTTTTTGAATTTTTCAAATTTTCTCCAAGAGAAGGCTTTGACACTTATCTTTAACTTAAGAGGTTTCTTATTCATGGAAGGGTTTAATTTTTAAGATAGAATAGATAGATGATTTTGCAATCTCCTGGAGGAAAAAAAAAAAAATCAGTACCTGAAATTTTTAGAAGGAAGGACAACTATCTTTAGATATCATCAATATGAAGCTTATTCTAATTTGAAGACTTCCTAATTAGAATTTCACTTAACTAATATGTTATAATACGTTCTTGTAGGATTAAAAAGAAAAAGAGAGGGAATTCTTTCCTCCTACATGTATATGCATTATGTACGGTTTTGGATTGAGAGTGAAAGCCTCATTCACAGGAAATCACTTGAAAACATGACTAATGTTAGTATTTATTTAAGTCCCATTAAATTATTGTATCTGCTTAAGTAAGGTTACAAGCTCATTTCCTGAATCAGGTATCTGCTTACTGCTTATGGTCAACTATATTTGCTGCACTGGAATGGAAATTAGATGTACAACATCAAGTTCTCAGATAATTTATTCCTTCCACTTTACTAGCAATTGAATTGGACTGAATTATCTTGGCCAAAAGTGAAATGGAGGGAGACGATTTTCTACAGAAGCTCAGTGTTCTCACTATTTATCTTTCTGGGTTGTCTTAGGTGATTTATACCCCTTTACTCAAAAAAAAAAAAAAAAGAAAAGGTTTGTTTCTGTGATATTTTAGATTATATTGGTGAAAGGTTCAAGCTGAGGACAGGACACCAGTAGGCCACTTCTCTGTTTTTGCCTATTTTGTTCCATAATTCAAACAGCAGTCCTGATTTTGCCTATTGCACTTTTTGGCTTTTGGTTTAGAACACTGGATTCTTTGCAGCAGTTTAACCTAGTTCATGTTTCATGGTTTTAATCCAAATGTCATCAAGCCAAAGATACTTCACCCTCTTTCATCTTATGACGGTACTTACTCTACAGTGTCTTAAGTACGGAATGTTATGTCTAAGTAATGCATGCCAAAACGAATCACATGTTTTGTCCATTTCTTCAGAATCCTACAACACTTACAACTAAGTTATTGATGTATTACTTAATGATAATGGTCAAGAAATCACATATATCAGAGGGTAAAGCTGGATACCTATAAATTGAATACAAGTAGTTAGAGCAGTGTTAAAGCTCTGTATCCAGACTTTGCATTTCCTCTCACTTAATTTTTTTTTTTTAATTATTACAGTGTTTTTTTGGTTGGTTTTGTTTGTTTGTTTTTTGTTTTGTGTTTTGTTTTGGTTTTTCCCCCCCTAAGATTTTAGGCTTTAATAAAACTCAAGAACCTAAAGAAAATCCCTACTGAATTTGTGGAGTTTCTCTGTATTTTCTGACCTGAAACCAAACAAAGTAACCTGAAATTATAAGTCAACCTGATTTTACTGTCCTCTAACTGCATGCTTTACCACCTGACCCAAATCTTGTGGTGTGTGTCACAATCCAAGCCAATGCATGCATTGCCAATGGGGCAATAAATTCAGTTTTATGCAGGGAATGGAAATGCAGTATTTGTTACATTCTTAAGGACATTGTTTCACATATGGATGTTTTGAAATACTAGGCATTTGTGCTTTATGAGTTCGTATGGCTTTATGTCAGCAGAGTTGCTTATCATGTCAAAAATGTTTGTGTAGCTTTAAGCAGGTGCCATTTGAAAATCATTAATTATTTTTTCTTCCAGAGTGAACCTAGCAGCAGCTTATACAGGACTATCTACCCTTCCACACATTACCTTCTGTAGTCAGTGCAATCCTCAGAGATCAGTGGCTCCTAATCCATAAATCAAACCTTGCTGATGAGTTGGAAGATCTCTGTTATATGTAAAGTGCGTTTTGTACTTTCACCTAATCTTGCCAGAGCTACTGTGACTAGTCAGGAACAGGATGTTACTGGTTTTCCAAGCAAAGCTCATCTGTAAGAGGTGGGAAACTATGCTATAGATGATACTAAGGTCTTTGTCTCTAAGAATTAAATTATATGTCTAGGCATGTCATGTTGGTCTTCATTGCAAAAGGGATCTTTATTTCTGTCTTCAGTTCATAAGAATGTCAGTTCCCAGGACCTATAAATGCTGAGACCTAATCTCAGGTGTTAATCTTTGTAATAGACTGGGTACTTCTCCCTTCTTTGTTTAGCTCACCATATTTTGCTTTTGGCTAGTGGCATTTTGACTACTTAAAAACAGGATAATTCTTTTGAATTTACAACTGGTTTTTTTCCCAAGGTTTTTCCATCAGAAATTCCAGCCCTACTGTCTATTTTATCCATGTCTTCTGTGCCATTCTGACATAAAATGAGCCATCAGTTCCTGCCTGTCCTTGAAGCTTATAGGTGAAAATGAACAGTATCTGAGGAAGTAAACACGTCAATATTTTTCTTTTCAATTCATCAATATAAATTTACCTCCTACTTCTAAAGCTCTGTTTGACATAACAGTACAGCACAGTCACCAAGATACTGCTTTACTCCGTGTTAGTAGTTTCAAAGATCTGGTCATCCTTGGAGGATTCCTAATGTACATACATGTGTATGTATGTGTGTCGGTGTTGTAATTTCCTTGTATTTTACAGTTGCTAATGTATTAGTGTAAGAGGAATTCCTTAAGCAAGCCATCATTTTGGAGTTTCTAGGTAGCAGGAAGAATATATAATGGTAACATTTCTACACTTTCCTCTATATTCCCTTTTTTTGAGGCCATCAGAAAGGTCATGGCCTCTTTAAAGGCTCCAGAGTCAGCTTTTCTTCCAGTTGACCTGGACCTATATGTGAATATCATTTGCATCATATATTTTGTCATCCACCTTTAAGATTGGTTTATATAAACATCCTCTTGCATGGTTGCTGGGCTTCGGTCATTTCTCCTCCACTTCTGCTTTCACCTTTTATTTCCATGGTACTTGCTGCTGCTTTTTCTGCATCTTCACATCCTCCCTTCCTTTCTTGTACCTGGGAATTTTTCCATTAATTTTAAACTCTCCTGTTCACCATAAAGAGTTTAGTTCTATGGTTGAACAATCCTTCAGCACCAAGAGACCTTTTTAACCTTCTTCCACCTCCTTTTGAAACCACTTTTACACTTACTTTTCCCCCAGAATAATTTGAACAATTGTTTTCATGTCATCATCTCTTCCTTGGTCAAGTGACCAGTTGGAAAAAATACATTTACATCACAAAGTTATGTTACCTTGAGGAGCAGGGCAAGGCAGTAATAGCACCTCCAAAGCCAGAATACGCTTATGCTGATTGTTGGCTTAGAGGTCTCTATATCTTTTAATTAGTTGTCCTATTATTACACTAGAGTGCTTTAATTTAAAATGAAACATAATAGCTGCCTTATCTCTAAGGAAACTGGTCTTGATTTTATTAACTTACAGGACAGAAGAATAATTGGCACATATCATTGTCCAGAAATGTATTCAACAAAGGTATCTTTCATTGTTTTCTAATATTTTTATCCTCAGAGACTTAAAATTCAGGTCCTGACCACTTATGGTCATTAAAGATCCCATGGCACTTTTTTTATAGCGTGGTCATCTCAACCCCAAACATCTGGCCAAATACCAATTTCTGTAACTGTTCTGCTTACCTAACATTCCCCACCACCACTCACCCACCCCATAGTTTCAATTGGCTACAGCATTCTCCATTTCCTCAACTAAAATACAGTGTATTGTTCTGCACTGTCAGTCACCACATTTCACCTCAGAGGTGATTGCGCTTCGCTGGGAAGTGAAGTGGTTCTTCTTTCTAAAGCTTGTAAAGCGCTTTGGGATCCTTTTGAATGGGCGGTGCTGTGTACAATAAATGTAATTCATTATCATTCTATCTCAGGCTTCACTTAGTTACAAAAGCATGTTTTATTTAGAGTTGGGCGAACCTGCTTGGTGGAAATAACACTCCCAGCTCCCTCTGTAATCTAACAAGGAACCTTTTGTTGAAGGTTGAAAAGTTAGGTCAATTCCTTTCCTGGGGTTTTTTGTTGTTTTTTTTTTGTTTCTTTTATTTTCACATTCATTTGTACCTCTGGATTGGAATTTTGAGAGTTCTTCAGACTGGGAATTCAAAATATTATGAAAAATGCAGTCCTTGTTATAGTTAATCCACTGTTTGGATGCATGAGCGTCCAACTAGTTTGCAGGAAGCACTTGAACTTTGTGGTGCTTGCCTGGCTGTTGCAACACTGGAAGGTTCGCCCATCACTAATCTTTACTGTATTTTGCATTATTTCTTCTCAAAAATTATAGGAATATTGAAAAATGCTGTGCTCCAACTCTGATGTCAGTGTGATGTGTGCAGAAGACACTTTACCCTAGAAGATAGTTTAGAATATTGCTAAATGTTTTTTCTGCCCAGCATTACTGGTCTTACTAACTACTGCCAACATTACCAGATAACTGCAGCAGTTTGCTGTGTTAAGAAATTTACTGAAGCCAGAACACAAGTGACAGAGGAATCAAAGCAAAATTTAACTGAAAGAGTGATATGTGATATACTTTTCTTGCATTTGTGTTGCATACAACGTATCCAAGTGTGTAAAGAGCACACAGATTTCTAATATCATTGCAGATCGAAAGGATAAAATGCTTAAAGCAGATTCATCCTAAGAAGATTTAGGATGTGAACAAATTTGTTGGCACTAAAATCTTTCCAAAGATAGTATCTTAGAATGCACAAAACTGAGGTGAAAATAACCCAGGCTCTGGGCTAAGGGGTAAAACCACTGTATTAGTGGATGTTACGCCAACCTTCTGCTGATGCCATTGGAACTAAAATTTCTATTATTTTCTTAAGGCTATGTGAAACTATTGAAAAAGGAGTTTCCAAATGGCTTTGCACCCCTCTTCTAAGATATTTCCCCTATTTCTTTTTAGACATTCTTTGGATTGTTAAATGTCAAGTGCCTATAATTGCTTTTATTTTCAGAATACTGAAAGTCTTATTATTTGTCTGAGATCTTATAACAAAAATGACAGCCAATTTTGTCTTACCCTAGGAATCACATAAGAATTTTCTAAATAACTGCTCTCATTATAAGAAAATTTTTGAAAGCTCTCTTGAGAAGTTTCATAGATCTATTTGAAAGTTTTTCCATATGTTTGATTTTGTTTTACAAAATCTGTATTACAATAGCAGAATACTCTTTTTGTCTTAGTTTTGTCTAATGCAGATGAGAACTGATTTGATGGCCTTCCTGGCTAGAACAGAGCATTTCCTCATCATGTTCAATATCATGCTACAGAGTTTTTAAAGGAATTTTTCTTGAGTTTCAGTTCAACCTTCCCATTTTGCCAGTGCTTCTCAAAAAAGATTGATTTTCACACTAGAAAATTCAGGGATTTCATATGGCTTTGATGTAAAGCAAGCAAATATAGATTAGGTTGGCTACTTCACATTAAGCCATTACATTCAATCTAAAACTAAAGTATAATGAAACTAGAGGGGTGCAAACTCACATAGATTGGAGGGGTGGGGGTTTGGGGGGAAGAGAAAGAGGGAGATCTGACATCTTAGCAATGCCAATTTTTACGCATCACTTGAACAGATGTAATCACTCAAATGGCAGTGTTTCAGTAGGTCCAAAGTACTTGTGTGAGTATCTGACTTCCCAGTTCATAATACTGTACAGTCGATGCTACTAAAAAGCAACTGTGTGCAACCCAGTTCTCTCACTGTGACATGTGAAGTATTGCATAGTTTGTTTTTGTAATAATGGCAAATACAGTGCTATATTGGGTAGTGCAGCGAGGTACCTGCTGCTGACTACTGGCTTGTAAATACTACAGAATAGACTAATGCCATATTACTGTTTAGAAATCCACAGAAGTCACAGTTTGGGCACTTATAATAATGGTATGTATTATGTGCATTATAAAAGAATAATGTGGATGAGTTATTCTTGAAGGAGATCCTGGACATTTTCATATCTTACTTGACCCAGAGTGTATCTGCACTACTATCACTAAGTCTGTGTACTTAATTAGCTGCTCATTAGCTATTATTGTTTTTAAAGTATTTTTATGTAATTATACTCTGTAATCACACAATTCAAAATACATACTTAGGGGGGAGGCTGAGGAGAATTAGAACTTCCTAAATAACTATATATTTGTTTTCTAGAAATGAATTATTTTGAAGTTCTCCTGTCATGCTTCAGATATATTCCAGATTGCCTGAGTAGAATTTAGCTCCTTGTCCTTGAAATCGTCTTAATTGTCTAAGGAGTTGTTTTTTTTTTTTCCCAACATCTCATTAATATTATTTTCACTGAACTGACTTTAAAAAAAAAAACAGTAGCTAAAGCTACCCACTGAAACAACTGTTCAACGTGCATTTGATGTGATTACACTCTGTATATGTCTTTTCCTTGCTCTAAATTGCAGATCTCTGTTATTCCAGCCTTCAGGTCTTCACAGCATGCACTGTATTTATGAAATTCATTAGCACTGGGGAATGGAGTTTCCACATAGGTGTAGTTAAACTATGTCGGTGCCTTTCCCCAAGCAACCAGCTGTCTTGTTTGGTTAGAGACTGGAAATTTGCATTATCTTGTGCAGTGCTCTGGGCCTTGTGTTATAGAGGCAGAGACCTTGTGAATACCTGATGTTTTTGTCAGAGCAGAAGTTTCCATTTGAAAGAAGTGCAACTTTTCCATTTGATTTCCCTCCAAAAACCCTGAAAAGTTCGATGTTTGCCCCAGATATCCTACTAGTAGCAGAATCCCACTTTCAGGAGCTGAGCCTGTACTCCATTTCCATGTATTGCTTCTGCTCACTGAACACGGGCTCTAGGGAAATGCCATTGATTCCATTACACTGTACCAGCCCTACTGCTCCTTGAGTTCACAAATAAATAACAATAAATATAGTTTCAGCTACACTTAGTCTTTTAGACGGGCTGACATCCAGTGAATTAGTGATGTCAGATCAGCCTTTTCAGCATGGCTTCAGTTTGCAACTGGTTGGGCTTTCTTTCTCTCCTGTTACATCTGGTTTCTTATTTTTTACAGATGGATCCACATGAAAATATTTTGTTGAGCACACTTGAAATTAAAAATGAGATGGCTGCCTCCGAGGCTGTGATGGGGCTTGGGGACCCTAGAAGCACTATGCTGGCCTATGACACTTCAAGCATCCAGTACCGGAAAGCTGGCTTACCCAGACACAGCTTTGGTCGCAACGCCCTGGAGCGACATGTGGCACAGAAGAAAAGTAGGCTACGGAGACGTGCATCTCAACTGAAAATTACCATTCCTGACTTGACTGATGTAAATGCCATAGATCGATGGTCACGCATATTCTTCCCTGTTGTTTTTTCCTTCTTCAATATTGTCTATTGGCTTTACTATGTGAACTAAGAAACAAAGCCACACAGGAAGCAAGAACTGGATTTCTCTTCGAATCGGTTGTACAGCCAAAAGTGGGACTTAGAAAAATTCTATTCAGGACAAGAAGTTATTTTAAAACACCTTAGTTGCTGGCCCACTCTATGGTCTGTTTTTATAATGTTTTGGTTGTATCTGCTAAATCGTAAATACATTAAGTTGCAGTATGGACATATCCCCTTATCAAAATATAAGTGCATTTTGAGTGTGAAGGCAAATTAGATTTTGACAATCACTTTTGTCTCATTGTCCCTCACTCTCTCTTTTTCTCTTTTTTTTTTTTATTTTTAATGGCCATTTGAGTTTAGAGTGGCATTTGAGAAACAAGTTCTAGTTTCGACAGCAGTACATACCATTCACAGGGGAACTGCAGATCTGAGACATGCGTCTACCCTTAAGAGAGTGTGCTAAGTTGTTATCACACTTATGAAACATACACATTTTACCTTTTAAATGTGTAAACTTGAAAACAAGTAGTGCCTATCATCTTCCTAAGATGATGATGGTCAGGGGTTTCCCAACCGTTTTCAGGTGTTTCCTGTTATTTACTGAAAGAACTAAACCTTTGACTGATAATACCAGGGTTGGGTGTTTGCACAGAAGCTGAAGCAAAAAGCACTAGTTTTATTTGCATTTTAAGGAGAGAGCGTACGCTCGCAGTCACAATGACTCTAGTTGTGATCAATAGAAGAATGTAGCAATGGTATAAAAATGCACCAACTCTGAACAGGTAGATATGCTGCTGGTTTGTGTCTGGGAAAGGAAATCATCTGTCCAAAGTGCCAAAATTGCTTGGCCAAATAGTAATTCTCCCAGTGGCTGAAGGAACCAAATGGTGCCCTGCCTTTCTAGGGTAGGGACAGCTAGAGAGCAATTACAAAATAAAGGGCCAAGGGGAGGGACAAGGCTACATACATGTAAAAGTATGTGTGTATATATACTGTGCAAATGAATGTTGTCAGCTGTAGTACATACCTTAGTCTGAAATACTCATGTGGAGTTGTGTGATTTCTTCCAAGTCTGCCATCTTTCCAGTGTTATGCTTGCCCCTGTTATGCTTAACACCTTCCAACCAGTTTGATTAAAGTTATCACACCTCTTTCAGCAGTGAAGATCTGAGCATATGTACTTAAGTACAAAAAATACTGACAGGGCACTTTCTCAGTCTGAATTAGGATTTTCTCCATCTAGATTAGGCAACAATATTTCACTTTTTGTATTGTTTTCCTTAGTGCACTGTTTTGAAGGAGGAATTTGGGAGTCATCACTGTAAGAGATTAATTATACTCGTGAATGTTCCCTGCTCTAGGGTGATTTCCATTGAAAAACTAGCAAATTCCTGTTGTGCTTTAGCAAACTTGTCGAAATAAAAGGGGTTTTTTCATTCCATAGAGCTTTGCTCTTATAGGCAAAATATAATAGACAAAAAGTGGAATTTTATAGGCAAGGTAGAGTTTGCCATTTTGTCCATTGTGGAACCTTCTGTAATTAAAAAAAAAAAAAAAATCTCAACTGTATAAAAAATATAAATTTCTGATAGCTTTTGCTAAATCAGATCCCCAGTATTGTTTGACACAAATATTTCATGAAGCAAAAGCCACATCTGTTATATCTATGCTACCTCTTATCTGTATACAAATTTCTGAAAGAAACTAGAATTCAAGTATCTTCCAAATAGCAAAGGAATTTTTTCAGGCAGATACTTTTTTGCCATTTAAATATTCCTTTGGCAATACTTTAAGATAGTTCTTAAGAATATTTTCCGTAAAATATAGTCTTTGAATTTTTTGTTCTTGCTTTAAAAAAATGAGTGTCTTGCAAGTTTCTGTGGGTTTTTTCCCCATTTGACAATGAATGACAGTGATAGGAGGAAAACAGTTCTGGGAACTATAATAGGCCAATTTTCTGACTTTGTTTTGAGCACACCATATGCTTATTTCTCCTACAAATGGAAGAGCATACTTTTCATCCTGAAATGGGATTTTTCCAGGCATACACACTGCCTGTTGTTTTCAAGGGAGTTGTGTGTACGTTCACCTACTGCCTCCAGGTTCAGACTCTGCAATAAGTAGAGACACGCTTTCGTCTTGTGCTTAACTTCCCAAGTCAAAATGTTGCTTTTTTCACATATTTAATTTCTGACTGCATCTCATGCATAACACAGTAAGCTTTGTAGAAGCATTTGGAATTTCAACTGATAGGTGTGATTCATGTTGAAATTTTTTCCCAGTTCTAAGAAAAGGAGCCACATCAAAATTCAGTATTTCTCTTCAAAATCTGCTATTTTAAAATGGTAACAATTATCATAAATAAAGCAGTCTTATGGTATTCTTCTGTACAAGCTTTTCTTTCATTTCACAAATTACTGCCAACTTTTTTTTTTTTTTTAATTTTACAGAAGCATAATGTGAACACAGGGAGCTCAGCTTGTTTGTGGTTGATACACATCAATTTAAAACCTTACAGAGAATATATTGACTCTCTGCATTGGTTTACTTCATTAACTATTATGAAAACCACAGAGACTGAATCCTAGGACTGCACATTAATTTATCTGAAGTTACAGTACAAGCCATAATACTCTCTGATGTCACTATTCGGAGAGTGAAAGAAAATGTCTGGTTTCTGCTCAGGTGTCACTAGGAAAGATATATTATCTGGGGGTAAGAAGCAATTTTGCTTCTACTATAGCCTTCTGGCTATTAATGTGGTGTATAAAATTTGTGGAAGAGAAGGATTCTATCATTTTGTACTAAGGCTTAACACTGTGATATAAAAAGATGGGGGTGAGAAAGACTGGAGAGGCACTGTCAAGGGAAAAGTATAACTCGTGCCCAAGGTGAGCACTTACCCCTCTTCTGAGATACTTGAGTGAAAGTGAGAAATTATGCCAACATCCATGAGGTATGGGGTTTGCTATGTGTGCTACCCTCCAGGTAAAGTAGAATAACTTTGCTTTTAGTTTAGAATTGACCGAAAATTAATATTCTAGATTCTTTTAATCGTGTTAATTGCTGTTAGCTTCAATAAGCAAAATATCAACGTTAATAATTTAGATAAACCTTGTAATATAATTATAGTTGCACATTTTATTGCTCTATTAGACTTGATAGCCAGCAATTAAGGTGTTTTTCATCTTTGTGAAATTCATGGGCAAATTATGACTATAACATGGCACAGTTTTAATGAAATCTTTGAGATCAATCTGTAAATATCTACTGTAAATGACTGCTAATAAGTATGATACACATTTTCAGAACTGAAAATTCATGCAACATTTTTCTGTGTTTGCATAAGGAATGTTATGTTTCTATCCTATCGCAGTTTAATGACTGGGAAGAAAGACTCAAGCAATGACATTGTGACAGTTTCTTTTCTCATTCCCAGGGAAGCAAAACAGTCTTAGATAACAGCATGTCACAGAATTCTTTGGAGAGCTTTTACATTCAAATACAAAGGACATAAAATCTGTATGGCACAAAAAGCACAATGCATAGAGGACATGAGGGGTGGTCTTACACCTGGGGAACAAATCCTATTTATTTCAGACAAATATGTGTTAAAACTAAAGCTCAGTTAACTTTCACTATAATTATTAGACTGTGTTCCAGTTCTATACTATAACACAGTACTAAACCTAAGTGAACAGATGTTAAGCATTATCCACTATATGTGCATATGGACATACACCTAGGTGTCTATATGGACCTATGTGTGTATATGTACTGAGTATATACATATGTATATATGTACTGAGTATATATATGCACACACATTCATATGTTGGCGTGTTAAAGGAATAAGCTAATAATAGGTTCGTTTCTACCATCAACCAGTGTATGAATATATTTTTGAGAAAAAAAAAAAAAAGCATTTAAAAAACCACCACTTACTATACAGGGTAACTGGGCATTTCTGTATGAGCTGATCAATGCTTATAATTCGTATGGAGCATTGCACCATTTGACAAAATGATAGTACTGTACCTCCTATCATCTGCAATTAGACTAGTCCTCACATTGCTTGCCTATTTCTTCTCTCTCTTTTTATAACGACATTGTCCACTAGTAAGTTTTCAGAACCAACAAATTCCTTTGGGAACCAAGGAAAAAAAGGCAAAATGTTAACTATTAACTATTTCTAGAAAATAATGTAGGGTGGGATGGCCAGGGTACAATATCAGTAGTGCTCATTACATTTTGCTATGTGTACATAGAACATACAATGTGAGCAACCATAACTTAAGCTGAACGTGTGTAAATATTATCAGATTTCTTAAACATTTTTAACTTCTAATTTGTATTTTATGGTAAGGCAAAAAGCTAATTCTACTTATGGTTTAGGTTAGTGTGTCCTAAAATGATGTAAATAATTAAATAAGCTGTAAATGAGCAGTCGATAGATACAGTAATTGTTTAGTGACTTTTTTTTACTAAGTACAATAATTGCAGTGCTCTAGCAGAGTAATTTAAACACCCTTTTGCATAAACAGATTTGGATTCCAGATACAAAAAAGTACAGAAAGTACTGTAGTGTAAAATAACCACCGTAGCAATGTTACTGCTAGCACAATCGAGATTTTGTATGGTTAAAATGTTCAGGCAACAGAAGATACTAACTTGGCACTCAGTACTCAGATTAGCATAAATAAATAGGGTCTGGTTTTCACTTACAACAAGGCACCTTTACGTTCTCCAGTGAGTGGAGATGTGAAGGTATCCACGGTAAGTGAGAATTCAGCTGTGGGTGATTTCGTTGCAGAAAGCCTACATATTGCATCTGTCTGTTTCTGAAATCTCTATCTCTTACGGTATCTAATAGTAGACTTATATTTTTCTTTAAAAAAAAAAAAAGTATGTTAGACTGTCGTTAGATAGCATAGTCCCCCAAAGCCAAAGAATCTTCACTCCAGAAATTGTTTAAAAGGGAAATCTAATAAGTCACTGCTTAACACCAAAGGTAAAGCTCAATAA